TCAGCCATCTATAATTCATCTACCTACCATCCATCTATCTATCCATCTATTTATCGATCTATTCAGCTGTCTATCAGCCATCTACCTATCTATTTACTAATCTACCTATCATTTATCTATCTACCCATCATCTATCTACCTATACTTATTTACCCATCACCCATCCATCCATCCATCCATCCTACCTATACATCCCCGGCCCTCCCCAAGTCACCAACCCTCCCGCCGCCAACCCTCACTCACCCCTGCAGACGGTGCCGTTCTCCACCGACTCGTAACCGGACTTGCACATACAGCGCCCGATGGGCACCAGCCACTCGCCGTCACCGTTGCAGTACAGTTTGATGGGCACATCCACCTCCTCGGCGTTGGGGATACACGTGCCCCTGGCCGCCACCAGAGAGGTGCTCTCCGCGCCCGACAGCGTCTCTTGGAAGATGGCGCCGTTCTGGATGACGCGTAGGCACTTGCGGTAAAAGACGCGGACGGCAATCAGAGACATGCAACCCCCGTAATCTTGGAAGGCCAAATAAAATCCATTTTTGGAGACGGGCCCGAAACTCCGGATTTCGGTGTTGATCTTCATCACCCGCCCACCCAGGTCGACCTGGGAGAAGCTCTCGTCGGCCGCGATGGTGTCCACCTTGGCCCAAGGGTTCTCCATCCAGCTGGGGAAGCTCTTGGTGGCGCCGTCAAACTCCGACTCGTAGTAGTAAAGGTTGAAGGTTTCCTTACAAGACCCCGGCACATTGGGGATGCTGCTGCAATCACGGACGGAGAACTTCATCTCCACGTGAATCCGATGGGCACCCCGCCGGCGGATGTATTTGGTCCGTAGCCAGTTGTTCTGGCTGGATTCGAAGACGTTGCAAACTTGGTACGTCCGGATGGTGTTCATGTTCTCGTCGTAGCCGCTCACTTCCTCCCACTGCAGAGGAGAGAGAGTGCCAAACTTTAAAAATAAATAAATACTCCTTTGGTCTTTTTAGTGGCCAGCAGAAAGGGAGTGGGGAGAAAGCAGTGCATTCCTTAAATGCTCCAGATAATTGCTAGGCAGCCGAAGCTGTTGGCACGCAAGATTATTACCGGAGAGCGTGATGGATGGCTCTTGGCTATGGAGGTGTCCCATTGGAGAATATACATCCAGGGGGTCGGGGGAAGACCAGGGTCAATGGGGAAATGAATGATGGGTCTCAGAGTCGGCTGCAACCAGGCAACGCCAACTGGGTCACTCCTAATAAATCCATCTTTAAACTCAAAGATGCAGCTACACACTTGTGATTTGAATGGTGGGGGGGCATGTTGGAAACTTGAGAGAGAGAGAGAGAGGGAGGCTGCCCCAAAGAAGAACTGGGTCCAATTATTCTCCAAAGCCCCTGAAAGGCAGGACAAGAAGCAATGGAGGGAAACTAACCCAGGAGAGAAGCACTCTGGGAATTTAAGGAGAAACTTCCCGTGAGGACAATTAAACCAGTGGAACTCCTTGCCACTAGAAATTGCGAACGCTCCAACGCTGGAGGTTTTTAACAAGAGGTTGGACAACCATTTGCCTGGAATCGTATAGGGTCTCCTGCTTGAGCGGGGGGGGAGGGGGGGTTGGACTAGAAGACCTCCAGGGTCCCTCCCGGCTCTGTCATTCCGTGATTCAATTTGCCGTTCCTATCGCCATCATTTTAAAACCACCGGAGGGTGTGTGTGTGCGCACGTGTGTGTTTATGTGTGTCTATTTTGATATTTTGATCCGCGCTGTGCCCTCGCCTCGCGTTCAAAACGGGGGCATCCATCCCAGGCTATTTTATTCTCAGGAATTCCACGGCTGGGAAGGGATTCCCTGATCATCAGGTGGGAACAAAGAAAGAGGTGGAAAAATCCTTCTTTTTGTAAAAAAAAATAAAAATAAAAACCAGCAATTAACGATCCCTCAGCTTCAAGCCAGCCACAGCAGCCGCCTGGAGAGCACACAGAACTTGTCCTAATTTTACACCCAACGTGTTTTCGGCGTTAATATCTCCAAACCGTCTTAAGGGAATTTAAAAAAAAAATAAAAATAAATAAAAGAGATTCCTTCTCAGCTAGATTTCCCCCTGCACCCTTCCCTGGCAGGGACACCCACCCACCCACATACCCTTTCCACCAAGCGCCGTTGTTTTTTTTCTCTCTCTCTCTTTTTGAAATCTGCTGCGAAGTTAATTAATCAACTAATTGCATTCATTAGCGCTGTCAGCCATATCGGAATTATTCCAGGAGTTTATGGCGTTCCGAGAGAAAATTGCCAAGAGGTTGGTGGGTTTTTTCGTGATGCAATTAAAAAAAAGAGAGAGAGAGAGAAAAACCCAGCAGCCGAAATAGTGATGGCTGTTTTTTTTTTCCTACTCCCCCCCCTTCGCCCCCCCCTTGTATGTTTTTGGGGAGGGGGCTTTGCAATTGATTTGGGGTGGGTGGAGGAGAGAGAGCGAGTTGTTTAAGGCACACAAAATTACTCGGATTTTATGCTGTTTTTCTGCTCCGTCTGGCGGTTGCCTGCTGCTTGATGGCGCTGCCCAGGTGTGCTGAGAGCTGAGGTTGAAGAGGGAGGGAAGGAAGGAAAGAAAGGAGGGAGAGAGGAAAGAAGGAAGGAAGAAGGGAAGGGGAGAAGGAAGAAGGAGGGAAAGAGAGAGGGAAGGAGGGAGGGAGGAG